CCTGTTTGGACATGCTCACTATTAATGAAATTCAGTCAGTTATTCGTCCCTTCCCATTCTTCCAGTGTTTGGGAATATAATTACACTTAAAATGCTTACTCATCCTTTTGCCTGCCTGCTGCCTACTCTGTCAGATGCATTAGCCATGAAGCAGAAGAGATGAGGAGCCTGTGTCTGTATCTGTCTATCTGTCAGTCCACCTGAATGTCTGTATGCCTGCCTCTCAGATTATCCTGGATCAGGCAGCAGGTGACATGGCGCGCAGGTGACCATCACCCAATTACCACAAGGAAATTTGAGATGAGCTTCAGTGTAGTTTGCATTTGTTTCTTTCTTCTCCTGTCTCCTTTATACTCTTTTTATGCCACTCTTTTATGCCACTATTCAATTTGTTCACTTTTAGTTACAAAACATTGAAGTTTACACTATTTTAACAGCATGTATGTCAACAGAAGAGTGTAGAGTTGGAAAATGTACCCATTGTTACATGCTACGTGAAATTTTAAAATGTTATACTTAATGGCTGAAATAGTTGAATAAGTTTAAAGTTAAGTTCCTTAATTACCAACATCACAAGCTACTAATAGTGAGGGCTGCATGGAGAAGTACCATAATACCCTGACAGAAAATAAATGTATTGACTGATTAACTTGGCAAAAAAAAAAAAAAACTACATTAGTGAGGAACAAAGAGGAAAGGTGAATGACAAAGCATTTCTCTAAAAATGACAAAGTCTGAGGGATAAAACTTCCCTAATCAACAGGTTATTCTTAGGGCAAGGTCAGGGATCGTGTTGCACTCTTTGTTACAACAAAAGAAGAGGAAGGAAGAGCTTCTTCATAGCTTTTGTTAGGTGCAGGTGGGCTAGAATTACCGACATGATGGGATTTATGCTGGGTTGTTTCTGCATTTTTTCTGGCAAGGTAGCGGAGGTATTCTCTAAAATGTCCAGCGAAAATGTGATGATAGTTTGCTTCTCCAATAGAGAAGCACATCACCTCATTATGTGGGGTTTGCTGTGCTAATACTAGTTCCTATAGGTCCAGCAAATGATTTCCCACACAATGCAGTGTAACTTTAGAGGTGTGAGGGATTACGGCACTGGGAGGTGATTTAGCTTGGTTTAGTGACTGGATAGACCAGCAAGTCTGGGAAACTTCTACCAATTTCATTCTACTACCATTTTGACCCTTGGCTGGTTGTAGAAATGGGACTGCAAATGGAGGACATTGACCTGGAGTCATGGACAGACGTCCACATTAGTTTACAGTGACTGCACTGAGCTCAGGGAAATGGAATTGGCAAAAGGTATCACCTCTAATGTGACCACTGTCCATGAATACTGGACTCGTGGTGCTATATCAAACTATAATTTTAAAAATATCTTGGTGTGTTGTTCTGCATCAGTACAATAACTGGAATTTTGTATCCACGCATGGCAGCATATTGCCAGATTGCTTAGTTGACATTTCTTCTGTGATTGTAATGACTTCAGCTTAGTGATACAATGTTCAGTTTCTCTCATTTGACTGACTTAATAGAGCTTATGATATGCTGACCAAATTACAACAATGATTGTGTTAAGTAGGTGTTTATGGTAAATATCGTGTCACTTCCATGAGCATGTTCCAGCATCAGCTTATCTGATTGGAACAGCCAGACCAGTCGTCATGTGTTCCAACAAGGTGTTGGGTTTCCCATAGTTCTAAGCTGTACAGTGACACGGGCCATTTGAAAGTGTGGCTAAAATCCTATGGAAGAAATGACTCGTTAAATTACAACCTAATACTCCAGTCATTAGCAAGCCGTTACCACCAGTGGAATGCCTTTGATGGTGCTGCTTTGTGTGAGTAGGTCCTGTTTAAGCTCCGGTTCGTGCATGTGGATCTTGGAATATTATGCTCTTACATAACATTGTAATACTCACAACCAAAACATAACAAAAAACCTTAAAAACTGTGATTTGGTGCTTTTTCTGAGCCGTAAAACGCTGATATGATGTCCACAAACAACCACTGCTGTCTGTAGAGATTGTGAGCAACCAGTTGCGGGCAGCATAAAACGGCATATTCCTTAAGAGCCGGGTCTTTAGTAAGCCGATGGGAATTGTCCATTGTGGGGTGATATTAGTAACCCTCTTAGGCAAAGCTAGTCTGTGGGCCGGTCCTGAGGGCTCATTTCAAGTGCTTAGCGCTCGTTTGGAGCTTTGTCACCCCTCACCCTGTTGCCAGCATGGCCCCAGCCCCTCTGGCTGTGGAGCGGAGCTGAACCACAGACCTTTACCCCTGCCCACCACCAGGGAGGGAACACTGACATCACAACTCTAACACACAGTCGCACACACTACTCGCACCAACATTGTGGCACACATCCATTTTCACAACCCCCCCCACCAGTGCACCACAACCAATGGCCTATTTTCCCGCCGTCCACTCCCATCTAACACTTTTTTTTCTCTTTCTCCACCCTCGTGAAGGTTGCCAGGCAGCAAAGAAAGACTTCACACACACATACACCCTACTATGCCTCTGAGGGTTTTCCGGATGTCCTTGTTTACGTCATGGAGTGTGCAGGTCGTATGGAAGCAGACTTGGAGCCTCCCTGGTTATGTCTGTCTAAGTCCTACGCTGACCTCCATTCATTTGGTGTCAATGCAAATGTTCATGGCAACCCCGCAGTTGGCCTACCACTGCTAAAATAAGTGCCCTGCAACTACATCATATTTAGTTTTCAGTTGTCCTCACCAAGTTAACTTGCATTGGCAGTGATATGAAATTAGTTTATTTCAAGTGGGAGTGAATATAAAGCATGTTTTTATGGCCCCGATAACCAATAACAGCTCTGATATTGGCTGTCGCTGATGTGCGGGATGGTTGTTGACTGTTACCAAGCTCTCTTTTCCCTCTGTGTGTCAAACCAATCGATTGGTTTTGTCTGCTCCTCCCTCCAACTTTGATGTTACCATTGATTGTTCTCATCTGCCCCTGAACTCAAAGGTTAGAGGAGCTGAGCTGCACTTCTGGATTGCTTTGACCTTCGCTCTGCACATGCTCAGTGGGTTCACAGAGCCAAGAGCCAAACAGACACGGCGTAGCCAGGCCCGCGGGTGCGTGACAGCCAGACAACGGTGTGATGTCTTTTTTTTTTTTTTTACTCACCCACTGAGGATGATGTATATGTGATTGATTTTTCTCCTACCCTTCTCTCTACCGTGTTTCCGCTGCAGTGCGCTAAGCAGGACTGAGTCCAGGCTTGATCAATGCATTGTTTTTCTTTTTCAATCACACTCGAGTGAGCTGAAGACACGAAAGGTTACACAGGTGAGGTTTGGCAGGGTTGGAAACAGAGCGAAGCTTCTGGAGGCCCCCTCAAGGCCAATATATGAGTTTGCATGGATGTTTGTGTGTGTGTGTGTGTGTGCGCGCGAGGGAGGGAGAGGGACTTAGTAAGAGTTGCATACAGAGAAAACTTTAACAGATTTATCAAGTATTTTTCTAACATGATAATTCTTCTTGTGGTGTCACAAGAGTTAGTTTACACTCGTTATGAATCTCTTGTCTTTCCTCCCAGTGGGAATCTTCCATCCATGCCTCAATTAGTCCGTGAAACCTTACCTTTACATTAAATTATAGGTCCTTCACAATGTCTCAGTGCTCACCTGCCCCAGATTATCTGCAGGACTGACTGAAGACTACTGCTCTTGTTTCCTCTTGCCTGACAAACGGTCCTCTGACGCACACACACAAAGGCAGAAAAGAGACCACTTTAGACCTGTTAGCCACAGTAGCAGGAGCACAAGGCTTCATATCAGACATGATCATCAGTGATGTAAAAACAATTTGCTGTTGGTGTTGTTTCGATGCTCTTAAAAAAACAGTATTAAGCAGAGGGAGGAAGTAGTCTACCCTAGAGGGGTACAGAGTGTTGCATAGTCCTGAATTATCTATCTTAGTAATGACGCTGTTAAACCCTGTACCCAAACACCTAGTCATTAAGAAAAAGATAAGTATCTGTGGGAGTGGAAGGGCTCTCCTAAAGCTGCATGTCTGGAGGGGGTAAGGATGCGGCGGCGAGGGAAGGTTTAGAGGGCTGAGGTGGGGTGGGGTGGGGTGGGGTTGGGAGCGCAGGCTTTGACCAGTGGGTTTCAGATGTCATGGCAGATTCTTTCAGGGGCAAATTACAGGGTTTAACTTCTCTTGTACCCAGGATGCCTGTATTCTGATTTAACTTCCTCGATAGACACTCGAGCAACGTGCTACTCAACACCATTGTCGAGTGCACTCTTGACTCTGGAGATACTTCACCTCCTCTCACGCTCGCAGCAACTCTTCAAGACTTTGTTCGTGGAGTGCCATTGGCAGCCTTTCTGAGTACTTGTGGAGAGAGCAGAGCAGAGCAGTGTAGCCCCTCTTAAGCTTTATAGTAGTTAGCATGTTGGTGTTAGGGGGCTTTACATGAGTGGCCCTCATTAACCTCTTAGAGTCTTTGTGCTTTGAGTTGGCACAGGGCTGCCCCATAGATAAGCTTTACTATGAAACTGCTAAAACACTTGATTCTAATGACTCTGGTATTAGCTGATCACAATCATGTGTTACAAACACAGTAAATTAACCCAAAGTGCAAACATCCAGATTTTTCTTGCACATTTGTGTCGGAACACACACTTTCTCTTACCTAAACTCATAAATGCATGCTGTCGTTGTATCCCATACCCACCTTCTCTAAACACCGCTACCTCACACACACATTCCCTGTGAGCCGTAACAGACCTAAAGCTCTCTGAAGCATTTAGCAGCACACTAGCAGGTTTACTCCACGCTGCCAGTGCTGAGGGGAGTGCTGAAGCATCTAATGCAATTTCAACCCAACATGGCTCTCTGTGAATAAACATCAGTGAAGTGTACCATCTACTGTATGTTGATCCACTGTAGTGCTTTCTTTTTTCTCCATACAAGCTGATCTAATACTCTGCCCCCCCCCCCTCATTGTGATTTCTGTAGAGACTGCATTTGCCTCCAGACTTGTCTGAGACGGTGAGTCGTGTGAGCAGGGGGGAGCTGGCAGGAGCGGCCACAGTGGCTTCAGCCTGTGGCTCTGGCACTTCCGGCAACAAACACCTGGACTTCTAGAGCTCCCACTCAGTCGCCACGGGCAACCAACACCTGGAACGCTGCAGCGTTGTCCTCTTTACCATGGTGACCAGGTTGTTCCCTCGCCCACGTAATGTCAAGCGCGATAACCCTGCCTGCCATCGCCACCTGCCAACTGCCCCAGCCAGGGGTGAAGATCTAAACATCCACTGTACCTCATCTCATCATAGACACATTTCATCCTTTAAGTCTTTGTTTTTTTTATGTAAACCTACAGTACACTATACGTGCTTATTTTTTCTCAGAAAGATGATATGGCACATTCCAAGCTGTCATGAGATGTTAATTTCACCCATGTTACTGGCCAAGTTTGTATACCCCCAGTTTGCTTTGTTTCACTTGCAAAAAAATGTGAGCCCTGTGGTATTTTGAAATGTTACATGAAAGTACTTGATTAGCAGGGTGACTCTTAAAATCCAAGATGGCGGTATTATTTAAGATTTGGTACATTTTGTTTGCTTTTTGTTTTTCTCTGTCTCTGGGGATAGTAAAGTGTAACCACGAAATGTTTTTTTAGTCTTTACAGACTCTCAGTCTTGGCAAACATTAAATAATTTAACTGCATCTCCTAAGCTCCGGGGCCTCCTTTACAAAACAAGTAACCACTCCTGCCTGCAGTAGCTCCACCATGTACAATAGTAGTTTATTTTCTTGGATAGTGCAATGGAATGTGCTTTTGTTTAGTCAAATAAAAATAAATAAATAAATACACAACATATGCTCTGTATTCATTTTACTTTATTGCACCTCAACACCAGCTCTGACGAGAGAGTTGACTACCCTTGAAGAGTATGTGAAGCAAGTTATGAAGGTCCGCCTCACCGGTTTCAGGTTCGAATGGGGATACCTCCATCTGACCCTGAGACTCTGCCGGTGAGTGACGTCTACCTCCAGTAAGCTGGAGAGCTGAGCAGGAATGTGGGCAGAGGGTAGGAGAGCTGGATTTGGGTGCAGGCTTCACACCTCATCAGGCATGTTTGCTGGATGAGCTGCTTTGCCATGACAAGCCCAAAAGAACAAATTAGGTCAAATGGTGACATGGAGAAACGGAGAAAAAAAACAACATGAAAAATTAAATGTTTCATTTTTGTTTTCCTAGGTCTGCTGCTGATGCCAGTTTGAATATTTTTGCCTGTGAAAACTGGCAGTATTGGTAACCATCTGCAACACGTGTTGGGAGAGGGTTAGTGTTACCTGACAGTTTCATGCATGAATGGAGTGCTCTTATATTGGGTGTATGAGAGAGAGAGATGACATACACAGGTCACTTATACAGGTAAACGAAGGCTTGTGTTGTCAAGATAAAAGCTGTTTTCCGAGTTATTGTTGTTGAAGATGTGACATATTCAGGATACACTTTTAAGGTAGATTTAAATAGAATACATTAATGTTGGCTTTTCTACACTTGCCATATCTACATATCACCATGGCACCGATTCACTTTTGTTCAGTTGGTTCAAAAAGTGGATTATTGTTCAAGTTTTAAAACCATCAACAAAGTTTTGCACACTATAAAGAATGAGGGTTCTCACTTTTTTTACTTTTGTACAAGTAGGACACGTTCAATTTAAATATATTATACATGTGGCTGTGCACACTTTTAAAGATTAAAATATGACTTCTTATACGTGTTTGAGCGTGGATTGTCAAACAGATTGTCAGTGCTTTGCTGATAAAGTTGGTTGTGCACAGTTAGACAGTGCTGTGGGTAATGATTAGCCACACATGCTTCTGTAATGAGTATGAATATGTAATTCAGGTCAATTAATTTAAGCTTCTGAATACAATAACAGAATAACCGGGTACTTCACAATTAGGTCAAGAATGTATTCTCTCAGTTTAATGGGATTTTGAAATAAATTTGAATTCATACATGGCTCTTCAGATGGCCCTCTCATCCCCCTCAGCTCACCAATCCAATCATTCTCATTGCTCAAATCTCAGTAAGGTTTAATAACATGTTGTTTTTATTTTATTTATTACATATCATGAAGTAGTTAAACCTGGTGGGAAAAGAAAATGTCTGTCTTGCATTTTCATTTTTTTTTATAATAATAAAATGGCATTTTATCTTGATGAAATCTGCGACAGCGGCACATAAGATGGAGACTGAATACTGTTTTGAGGACCTACTTTTTGAAAGCCTCACTTAGCCTTTAGCAAACAAAAGCCACGTGACTGAGTATAGAGAATTCGCTTTTATAATTGTGTCTTTTGGCAGCTGTTGTTTTCCTACTGTAGTTTTAGCTGATGTGCTTGTGGGTTCTACTATTGAATGCCCATCACATTGCAGCACATTTCAAGCAACACAATGTAGGAAAATAAATTTTTACCACATTGGATATATCTCATTCTGCCACTGTTGGTTTAATAAAACAGACCCATCTTCAAACATGGTGTGTCACAAATTAGATAATGAGGTTACCTGTCAAATACAAAATACACAAAGCTAGACTATTATTTATTGTATTTACAGTGATTAAGGAAATGTTACTTCCTGTTGCTTACAGCACACACAGAGCTCACAGAGAGAATTGAACTGCTGACACTAAACAGGAGAATGTGAGCTTCTGTTCTTGCTGTGGAGATACAGATTCAGATTTCCAGGCCAGTCTTTCCTGTGTCTCGTTAAAAAACACATGAAAGACTACAAAGTTCTCAGGAAGTTTTGTACAGAAACTTATATTGCCTGACTTTATTCAGAGCGAGAATTACATTTAAACCTTTTTATCCCGAAGCTGTGTATTATTTAGACTTCCGCTAATTGCAGTCTTTCTTGCATGTTGAATCCCTCTTTCATTCTCCCTCTGTAATTATTAATGTTCCTCCTCTGTCTCGGGTGCAGTCGCCTAACCTGTTCTCTCTTCCCCTCCCCATGCTCTCAAAACAGTATTTCCTCTGTCTGTGTGATAAACTGGATTAAATGAATAGAGAAATTGCATTAGCCCCAGAAAAAAATATCTGATTAACCTGCAATCCTCAAAGATCTGATTGGACTATTAAATATTGAGTGAGACGTGTAAATTCAATTAATCAATTTTGGCAAGATATTTGGTGCCGTTACATGCTGTGTGAATGTTACCTGACCTCGCTCTCTCTAGGACATCCTTTCCTTTTAGATGCTCTCTCTCTCTTTCTAACACACCCCCCTCAAATCCACACACATACACACAGACACAACCCCCCTGCTGAGGCAGCAAGTGAAGCAAAATAACTCACTCTGCCACACAATCGCTCCTTTGCCTCGCTCTAGGCACTGACTGCTTTATTCCATGACTTTTTTTCTCTCTCTCTCTTCTCTGCTCCCTCCTCCTCATTGGTTCTGTATATATATTTTTTTTCATACCATCGTAACTCTGCTACAACAAGAGCCAGTGATGGTGAATTGCTTGACCTTTCTCATTGTGTGGTGGTGTAGTGCTGTGTGGTCTGTGTCGACTTGGTTCAGCCCTATACATCAAGAGAGGTTTGTTATTGTGGACACCTTTGTTTGGTGGGAATTGGAGGTGTTGTGAGTGTATTACAAGCCCCTTGTACTGGCATTTGTCAGCATTCGATTCGTTGAAATTTGCAGCTATGATGTATTACGTCAGCATTTTCAAAGTGTCTCTACTTGCTCAGTGAAGATTGACACCGTATAAGACACAGCATTGAACAGGCAAAAAGGCTTTCTTTAAGACACAATTTTACTGTACAAAATGTTTTATAGTTTTCACAAAATACATTTAGAAAGCTCCATTTTAAATAAAATTAAATTGAAATATTTAAGAGACAGTGTGTAGACGTTTTATCTCAGAAGCATTGCTCAGACGTAAACCCAGTGTGTGTCCATGTCCTACGTACACACTGAAATAAAAATGCAAAACTCAAAAGAGCATGACAGATGATGCTAGAAAAACCCTCCCATGGTCTTCAATTATAAATAAGGACTGCGGGGTTCGACTGCAGTCTTACGAACTCGAAGCCAATGTAATGAACAGAAAGTGTTTACAAAATTTTGCAACACAAGACTAATATCTTTAAAAAAACACTGTGTACTAGATGAAATACAAAGGCTTTGGTCTGTTTTACAATCAACAATGATTAAATCTGATATGTACTTGTAAACAACTGCCAAACACTGAAGTTTAAAACTCTGTCAAGCAATGTTTAATCATAATTATAGGAATTAAATATTTCTAGTTGCACAATTTTTTTGACCATAGGACACTATAATACAACTATACCTAAGAGACAAATTGTACCTGACCCTAAAGAAATGTATTTTATGATGCATGGAACATTTATAGAATATTCTCGGGGATATAAATGAAATCAACTTTTATTGGAGAAATCTTTCTGGAAGATTTCTAGGGAAGACAAGTACTTTACATTTTGACATAAACAAACTGGATTATATCGAAGACGCAGTCTACCATTTACAGACTACAGGTTTTCTTTTACACCTGTTTTCCACATATAATGTTCTTCGTGGTAATCTAGAGTCAATCCAACCACTGAAGCAAGAGGTCCAAGTTGTGTTGCATGTCACACCGTCTTTGCACACTTTGAGCTGTTGATAGTGATCCGTGTTTAATAAGCCAGCAAGTGCAGGCCCACGTCAGAGGAGTCAAGACCACAGCCTCAGTGGGTGGATCGAGTTTGAGTTTCCTCTGCTAAATATCCATTCGTAAGAAATAAGACCAATAAATAGTTTTTTTTTTCGACACAGTAAGAGTCTCCCCTCCAGCTTTTCGTCTTTAATGATATGCAACAGCGTCCAGAGACCATGCAAAGGCTGGTAGAAAGTCTCGATATAAGCAGATTAAAAGATAGTCATGGCAGAATCTCTCAGGTTCTCCTCTCTCATCAACAAACGCAAGACCAACATGGTTTTCTAGCAGTCCATCTATCAGTACTTGATCTTGGTTTTTCATATTAACATACAAATGGCCATTTACTAACACACCAGAGAAAAAAAGGAAACAATGACTGAAGTTGGAAATAGAAAAAAAAACAGATAAGTTTTTGTTCCATAAAAATTTAACACCGGGCACTTTACAGAGGTCCATTTTTTTTCGGTCTTTCCATTGTTGTTCTCTCTTCCAAGTCCTCGTTTGAATGTGCCTAGAGCTACAGAACAGCACACAGTCCCACTGGAAAAAACAAAGCCCAGACGTCCCAAGGCTCTCCCAGAGTCTCTCTTTCTTTCCTCCTCTCCTGTCCTTTGCCTCTTCTCAACCCTCTCTCGCCTTCTCTACTCTCCTGTGCCGTGTTATGTGTGAGGAGCACTGCCGGAGGGCGATGGTGGAGTGGGTGGTTACAGGGTGAAGTAGCTCTTCTCTCTACTGTAGTCTTGACCAGTACTGAGACATGTCAGGCTCGCTCCCTGGGACTTGGACAGGGACAGACACTCCAGGAGAGATGAGTCCTGCAGAGACAAGAAGATAAAAAAAGACATCAGTAAAAAAAAAAAGGAAAAAAAAGAAAGAAAAGCAAAAGCCCCAGAAGTCAACATGCTAAATTAGATGAGTGGATGCACCATGCACAGTTAGTGTGACAGCTAACACTGGTTAGCCTTATAGGACAGAACATTGTGCTTTAAACGCCTGCAAATAGGTAGGCGAGCAGTGGGGCTGCAAGTGAGTCACAATGCTCTGCACATGGTTGCACAGTAAAAGGCTCACAAGCTCGATAAATTGAGGCTTTGGCAATGGCATTTAAACAGAGAGAGTACAACAGCAAATGAATCATATTAATTAGCAATTTAGCACAGAGGAAATGTGGTTATGCATGATTAACTCTTCATGACTATAACCAGTATATATGGCTCTCAGTAACAGCATCCTAATGGGGTGGAACTAAACTATGGGCTGAAGTAGTGGGATTGACATGATGGCGTATAGAGCAGCGATGAAAATGAGCGTCATGCAACAGCAGAAAGGAAAATGATATAGGATGTAGAGATATTGATCCGCACACAATTTAAAAACCAGGAAGTTTCCCAAATAGGCGGAAGAAAGGAAAAAATAAAGTTGCAGCAACAGATTATGAATCAACGATGGCTATGGTAGTACCCCCAAAGTTACAGGAAAGGTGGCAGATGTTTCAAAAGAGTGCGCTGTTTTGTTAGGATTAATTCCCAAGCATGTTGGTAAAACAATGAACTTTCTGCCTACCTGTTGAGGTGGTACCAGAAGTGGTCATTGATTGGCTGTTCATATGTGCCTGCATATGAGGGGGCGTGTATGTGTCGTAGCTCCGCCCGTTCACAGGCGGACTGGTAGGCAGCATGCAGGAATAAGAGGAGGTCTGGCTGGGCTATAGATGGGGAGAAAATGTTACATTAGCTTAGCCAACCATGTAGTCTGTCATACTGTAAGCTCTCAAAGGCAGAAGTGTCCTGATTTAATTTTATTTATCATTTTAGTTCCCTGAGAAAGCTATCCTTTACTTAAACCTTTTTTTTTTTTTTTTTGGTTGGTTAAATTTGTTTCTTAAATTACTCATGGTGTGTTTGATTCCACTCTTACAATCAAATCAATCATCATAAACTATTAGGCTACATTTAAACAAAAAAAAAAAGGTTATCTTTAAACATTACTGACTGCTGAGCATTATGGTCCTTTACTTACTTGCATAGGTAGATTGTTTGCCATGGTGAAGCTGGGCATGGGGGGCAGCGCACTGTAGGTGTTTGTGAGTGCAGAGTCAGGTCTACCCAGCATTGACCCCGAGGTGAAAGACACTGTGGAATGAAGATGAAAATGTGGTTAAAAGCCGCTGAAATGGCACTCAGTCTCCCTCCTCCACCCCTCCACCCCCACCCGTGGTGTGAGAGGTCGTCTCGTTAACGTTAAGTGGTGCGTGCGTGAGGTGACGCCTTTACCTGACAGGCTGATAGGCCCGGGCAGATACTGTACAGTGTGTGTTCTCAGGTGATTGACTTGTGAGCTTGGGCTCTGTCTGTGTGCCCTCCTGCCTGATTCGGTAATTACGCAGATAGTCAGCTGAGAAGTTTTGCTCAATCATCCATCAAAAAAAGGAAACCACCGGTGCTTCTTCATGTGAACTAGAGCGCACAGCCATCGAGGCCTCTCCCCCCCCCTTTTTTTATATGAATCCGCAGGCTGTGTCATATAATAATATTTAATATGTCACATGGGTTCTGTCTGACTTCGTTTGGACGTGCTGTTACCTATTTTGGCAACGCAACGTGTATGACTAGTGTAGCGAATTTATGATTGCGCATCATTTGTGCAACACAATATCTGGCAAATTCTACTTTATTATCTTATTTTAATATGATTCTAAGGGGGTTGTGGGTGGGGGGTATGCTGTGAGTATTGCCAAAGCTGTGTTGGGACCTACCCGGTGTAGTGGGCTGAGGGATGGCCTGGTAGACGCTGGTGCTAAAGCTGCTGCTGATGGGAATGTGACTAGAGGAGTTGTTGGCCTGCCGGCGCTGGTTCCGCAGCTTTTCCTCTCGCCTCCACTTTGCTCTTCTATTTGAGAACCATACCTGCAAACGGAAGATCCTTCTTAGTTTCTTTTTCTTTTCTTTTTTTCTTACAGGAATTTTGTTCCTTGTCTTTAAAAAAAACAAAACTCTTCACCGATCTGGTCACTCACTTGTATTCTTGCTTCAGGCAGGTCGATTTTCGCTGCTAGTCTCTCCCGTGCGAAAACATCTGGATAGTGAGTTCTTTCAAATTCTGTAGCGCAAAAAAAAAAGGGTCAGTAAAGAGGTAATAAATAAGGTCGATGGTGATTCATTTTTTGCAGGGCTGTTAGTTAAATAAGTGTGTGTCAAAGGCCCTAAATCCAGTTATACATGTACAGCCAGGTGCCATGACTTTTAGGCCTGTCATTTGTTTAAAATAATTACTTCTTTACTTTATTTTCTGTTAGATTCACATAA